GAACCATCTGCCCTCAGTGGGACATTCTATTTGTTGGTGGAACGATTGATCAATATAAATATTTAGTGGATGAATTGCTCATTAGTGGCGACAGACACCTCAAAGTTGAATTTTTTTGTTGTGTCCTGCTTTGTTTTTCAAATATTTCGTGGATTTTAAACGCTTCACTGATTTCAGATATGAGAAGTGAGGAATGACTGGATAGCATTTGAATGGTTACCGTTGTTATATCATGCAAAACGTTGATATCTTTCTTTCCTTTTGCTATTAACCCACCTCCAGGTAAAACCTCCTGCAATGCTTTATTTCATCACATTGAAAAGATCATTTATAGAGTGGAGACTTACAGCCTGCGACATTCATATTCTAGCTGATGTCATTTCCTCGCATACGATTCTCCTCATTACAATCGCCTATAGTCTGTGTTCCTTGAATTCCAGTGCAGAAGAAGAGAACATCTTTTTGATTGTTTTTTTTTGTTGAAAACTATTTTTGCTGATTTCACTTAAGAGGTCACTTTTCTTGATCCTCGCACGACTGAAATTTTAGTATAGCATCGCAAACGGAGCGGATCTCACTGGCCGGCTTTGTCCATTTCACTGTGTATTCGTAATATGAGAATTATCGACGAAATTGCAACACACGCTGTTTGCAAATGTTATCGAATATTTGAAAATGAAGATAAGCAGAAACATCATTCCGTTATCCAGCTTTCGGCTGGCCATGCATCGTAAGGCGGCAACACGATGGAGCAGTTGGGGTCAACTGCTCGTAACACCACATAAGTTCTGGTGCTTGATGTGTTTGTGCAGTGTTTAGTCGTATTTGCCGAAATGTCGTCAAGTGGTAAAATTAATGAACGTTTTTGGAAGACAGCGATGAGGATAATGCTGATGAGGGCGGTCGGTGATTATGTTCAATCAGACGATGAAGTGGATGAAATTCTATTTGATCCAGTATAATGTGCTGGTTATGAGCTAGTTGATATTATGCTTTAAGGTGTACGTACCTAAGGCAAATGCTGCTGCTTTATGCACTTAGAAATCAAAAGATGATGCGGACAGCTGGTTTGCATAGAGCGTGAATTTACTGTGAGTCTAGAGAGGAGTACTCAATTTGATCAAGGAAAAAACTGACTTGAAATGCTTTGCAGTTGACAATGTTGACTTAATCGGCTGTTTCAATCGTTTCGAATGAAGTGCTCACAAAAGACACCAATGACTGCTGCCGAAGCTAAGAAGTTGATTGGAACTGCCATTCTCACCGGTATTCATAAATCAGAGTCGGTTGCATAAGTGTGGGATACGAGGATTCCAAATTGTTCTATTGTTGCACAAAAATGGAACAATTCATCAGGATTTATGCATTCACAACGAAGCATTGTCGAGATATCGCTTCCAAGTATTTCGTATGTATGCTACGATTTTTTTTCTTATATATCGCAACAAGACGAATGCATGGGTCGTCACACATAATGTTTTTGTAATGTTTTTCTTTTGGAATGTTTTTGAAATTGTAATTTTCAGCAGGATTTTTTTACTCAGTTCTATCTTTCACTTCGTCTCATCCACTATTTTGTTTTCTCTGAATTGCATTCATTTTCATCAATTTGAAGCAAATAAGCGTATAAGCGTGACCACTAACACTTCTTCTGTGACTTCATCTGCGGATAATCAAGCAATGATAGGAATAAAATAAAGAATGTTTTTGTTGTCCAAGGAATGTTTATAATGAGCAAATCATTATGGCATCTCAAAAGTGCATATCATATTTCTCGTGCTGAATATTCCAATGATGTACTGTTTGGGATTTTGCTGATAAATTTGTTTCTGATTTTTCAGTTATATTGAGACTGTTGTTTGTATTGTATATTATGTTACTTTGTCTTTTTCATTCCTATTGCCTAGTCACGAATGAGTTTAAGAGCCAGAACTATTTTTCATGCTTCGCACTATGGCAGTGACTTGCAGTGTAAATGTTCCATCAGGACTTTTGTTTTTTTTNTTTTTTTTGTTATTTTGCTATGCTTGTAACGTTTTGGTTTAATTATGACTGGTATTTCAATGTTTTGAAAATTTTAAACTCACATTGCAATCCAATGTGAATTATGATAACATCAGCATAATGAAATTAGGTATTCATTGTGTTGATGTTACTGTCTTGAACAAAGTTAGAATACGCCCGAATTACTAAAGAGCGACAATTAATTTTGTTCTATAGGCTTAAAAACACCTTAATAATGATGTGGTTATAGCCGAATCTAGGAGATCCAGTTCGTCCCAATGCCGTAGAATGTTCTAATTTGCCCGCAAAGTCCGTAATGAAAACTTCTTTTTCTCCGGTTGATATGAAGGAATGAACGGAGGCACAAAACCTCGGATCTGTGGCTACAATATTCATGAAGTTATGAAGGGTTGAAAGCTGGCGCAGGTCCTCTCAGGTCCGTTGCTCGTGCGAATGTTAGCAACAAACAGGATTAATGAAATAAAATGCAACAGATTTCTTCACATACCGCCAAAAAATCAAATTTTATTGGCCCATTTACATTTTGGACCTGAAAATGAATCGTTCAACCGAATCAAATGCATTTGTTTGTTTCCGCATATATTTTATCTATTTATTCCAGCAAAGCTTAGAGATTTTGGAAGAGTTTTTTTGAGCATTTATTGCTGGCTATTTGGTGTTCATTAGAACCGAACATGAACTGAACTTATGTTTTAACTGAAAATCTTAATGGAAACTGCAAATTCGCTTCTCTGATCATGCATTTTCACACCCCTAATAGCACATATTCCATATTACTGCTAGCTATAATAAGCTGACCTCATAACGACTGCTGTGGTGGAGACTTGGTAATCGAAAGCGAGCAGAACTTTTTCGCTGAAAACATTTTATCGTAATATCGAAACTAGAATCACCATTTCTTATTGTTCAATCACGATAATTTTGGTGAAACGCGAGGCGATTTTGTTCAGAATATTCAACTGATATCTGTATCTCACGATATCTGTATCTTGTCAGTAGCGTTGAAAACTTGCAATGAAGAGTGCTGTTTACTTTAGTTTGTGAAGGCCCTTTCTTGGCATGAATTGTTAATATTATTCATGAAGTCGTTTGTTCGACACGATGCTTACATGCAATGGTATTTGATTCAAACGTCACATACAATCGACTTAAAAGTTCATCATTGAAAATAAACTAAATAAACAAACGAAACGCAAATGAGAGAACTCTAGACAACTATCAGCTGTCTCACAGTGTTATCAGACGTCGCAAGCATTCCAAAATTAGCAATACCGACGGACCACACAGTGTGAAAAGAATTGATGGAATGACAGCCAAGCAGATTTCAGGTCTGCGGAAGGAATATGTTTGCATATAAAGATAGAATCATGCAAAAACCACATCGAAATTGCAAATTTTTTAATTAGCGAGTTGTTAGGTTAGTTTTTCTGCAGAAGTCATGCTGATCTGCTAGAAAATGCGAACGCTGTTTCTTTCCGATAGGATAGGAAAATATTCTTGCTACGGTTTGAGTAGGAGTCGTCGAGAATAATTGAGTTTTGTGAGACGTTTTGTGATGTAATAACATTCGATCGATCCCTTCGAAAACGATGCAGTACGATCAAAATAAATACTTCCAAGCGAAGTTTAAGTTTGGAATATTCACTGATTGAATTGCAATCAGTACTGAATACAATCAAGCTTGCATGATCTACTCCGCTATCCACACGCAAAATAACAGAAGAACTTCCCTTATTGCTAACTAATCGACGTTCTCACATGAAAAAGAGTCGGCTCTGAACGGTCGACTTCAGTTATTTATTATGTGGTTCGCTTTTATGGTAACCTTGATGCAGTGATCTCAAAATTCATGAAAGCTTATAACTGGACAGGTGGAGGAGAAAGGCACTCACGATGCTTCAAGCCCCCGAAAATGGTATAATGGAAACGTTGCAATACGTCGACAGTATGCAGATCATTCGAATGTAATTCAACTTCAACTGCCTGTTTCAAGCTCATACCGGTTTGGGCATATGCTTAGGCTTGAGCTAAGGCTCGTGCTTAAGTTAGGTTCAAACTTAAGCTAACACTGAGCTGAATTGATCCAGGAGATTTTTACAGCTTGTCGTGGTTCCCTAGTTATACATTACTCTCGGAATGTCAACAGATCAGAATATTCTGGTTTTTGCTGAAGGTTTCTTATACCTGATGATTTTATTCACTAATGAAAGCACGTGGAATTGGATAGAATAACGAAAAGAAAATGATTATTGAATGGTGAAATGTATATGTATTGAGGTTATGACGGGATTCGTGCAAGATCGATTGCAACTAATCTATAGAACAGTGTGCAGAATGTGGTTACTATGCAAATTTTTTTTTTTTTTTGATCCTTTGGGGAATTTTTTCGAAACGATCGAGGTGAAACTAGAATATTTCAGGATGCAAATACAGTCACAAAGTAATTCTTGTTACAGATTATAGAACCTTCCGCATTTTGGTAATGACTGAGCTGAAATTGGATCCATTGCCACGTTTCTGCCGTTTATCGGTCCATTGCGATAGTGGAGTTTTGTTCATCGATGTACGCCACAATGAATCAGCGAGGAGTCGTTGAATTGTCATTACGAGATATCGATCAGTAAAGTGTTTCGACAGACGTGATATCTGTTTTGAGAGCAGATTTAGTGTTAAAAGATATCAATACTTTTGCAGCTCTCATTCAACATATTTGCTCTTACAGTTTCTTTTGAATTTTCCAATGCAATTTGGCAGCAGAATAAAGCCTCGTTATTAACGAATGATAAAGTATTATGTATCACCGTAATGAATTTGAGTTCAAAACGTCTCCTAATTGAAAACAGTCTAGTAAAGTGTCGCATGGCTCACTTCGTAAACACATCAGTGGGCTCGATCAATTTAAGTTGTCATTTGCTTTGTTGGTTGACTGCTAAGTAAATGATATGTAAGGGATCAGACTTAACTTTATCAGTGAATTATACCTCGAGTTTATCATCGTCGTTCAGATGATCATATCTGATTAATTCGAATAAACAATTTGGATTGCTTCGCTTTTTTGAGTTGAAAAAATAGTGTGTCACAACATGGAAGACATCCATTTCGTTACCAACAGGCAGATCATCGCACGAAATGAGTGCTCGGAATGCATTTAGATCCAGTTGCAAAATTCGTCCGCTTACGAGAAGCTGAAATGAGAAATTATCACTGCAGTTTTTTGCATCATACTTATCATTGTTAGACTTATTTTACTATGCATTTAATGCACGTTCAGAAGCGTTTGCTGCATTGATTTGTTCATAAATTTGAATAATTCTGAACAAGTCAGCTTTATCGTTGCTTTTAACTTCCTTCTATGAACATTACAAAGAACTATACTTTTTGGAAATTTTTAATGGCATTTCTCAATATAATTTGCTTGGTTCGATGTGAAACATCAGCGTAGTCACCGAAAACGATATTAAGGCACTGTGGAAGAATAATGGTATTTGATGATTGCTGCGCTGAATAAGTTTCGAGTGTGTTTGTAAGCGATGGTATCTGTAACGTTCAAAGCGTGACATTCGCAGTGTGACTGTTGAGAATACAGTTCGTTTAAATAAGATTTATCAATTGGCCGCACATCAGAATCATTGAATCAGTATTTCGATCAAAACACCGCCAAAAATTTTTATCTGAACTTCAAAATAAAACTCTTTCAAGAGGTTTTTTTTTTTCAAAATTCGAAATCATTATATGGATCGAATGTATTATATTAAACCTCCTTTTGAGAGGCTGAGTGATTCTGATCAAATGATGAGAATAGAGCATAATGAAAGATTGGAACCTGGAGAATGCGTGCGATGGCAAGCAATTGTGGTAACTGACGAAACGATAATTCAATAGTGCCGCAATAAAGGAAGTGAAATACTTCACGAACTAATTCTACATCAAAGCACGTTACATCGATTGTGAATGGCATTCGACAGCAATTGACAAGAGCGTGTCGAAAATAGTTTGAATGTGCTATTGCCACTTCAGCGTCTATCAGCATCATCGTTCCATCACATAACTAAAAACAACTTCCCGTTCTCAGATACTCTGGTGCAACACTCTGTTTCTTCAACGTTTTGTCTCAGTAATTAACCAGGGAGTGGACTCGAATAGCAGTGGAAGAAGCGTTGAGATGGAGTTGATTTTAGAAGAGTTTTTGGTGATTCAATTCGTTTTGCTTGATTNTGATCTTCTTTTCGTCACCTCCGCTATCACTCAAATATCCGTCTTTAGAGCTTACAATTGCAAATGTGTGATTGCAAGCTGTGTCCACAAATTGTTTCTGCGACTAAGTGAAAATTAGCTAAAATATATGAAAAGAACCAAACATACCTTAGCAACTACATCCATCCCAACCGTTCTCTCGTTCAACCTGTCATCATACAACGTCTCTCCAACCTACAATCAAATCAAACTTTCACTGTAATAGAAAGTGGAATTTATCCACTTTACTGCTGACTAAATTTAATTTGGATCTGAGGCATCGATCATTATATCCATCATTTTCAAAAGGCTGCCGAAGTGTTTTGACTGTTGCGAGGATTTTATGGAAAAAAATCATAATACAGTACCTTGGCATGATGTCTCAATAACTGTTCTTTATTGGGAATCCACTTGAACACTGTATCATCAGCAACTGTTTGTTATGAAAATGGAAGTATTAAACAGTTTGGAAATTCGAAACGGTTTTGAAAAGAAGTTTTTCTTGGTTATTTTCACAACTTGACTGATCACTTTCTGAGTGTCAATCATTTCAGTATGTCTGTATCAATAAAAATATCTCATAATTAAAAATCGCACAAAAATTCAGCGGAAAAAAACAGTGCCATATGAATTCCGACATCAATCCACAAACCTACCGGTTGCCATCAGTGATCCAAATTCAAATGTTATTAACACGAAGCATCCGAAATTTTTCATTCGAGGTGAAATTCCAATTCAATTAATGAAGATTGAAATAATGATTATGTAAACATCTGGAGGAATGAAATGAAGATGCTGATAGTCAAACCGAAATTTAAGTTGAACTGAGAGGCAATTTAAATTGAAAAACTCAAAGTTTCACTGGTATTCGGACAAACTGATAAGAAGAATGCAAAAAATGAAGAAATTTGAAAGCTACAAATGGTTAGTGCTAATGTGAGAAGTTCATTTCAGTGATGTTCAAGTGCGTTCGTCATGAGCGGTTAGTTGGTTTGTGGTCTTGCTAATCTGATGGCCGAAACAGAAGATTGATCCCTTCTGTATTGGTTGTATGGCAGTGGATGAGATCGATGAATTCCGAAGACAGAATTTAGTTCGAACCAAATGTCTCTTTTAGTGGTTGGAATGAATGAATATGAGTGATAACTGCTATGAAATCAGTCCCAAATTCGCATTTGAAATCTGTCCGGGGTAACAAAAAATATCCAGTTATTTCTTGTCGGTTGAAATGCAGATTGGACCAGTGTTTTCAGGCGTTCTAAATACTGTGTTATTCACTTGGATTTGCACAAAAATGTTGCAGTCCGTTGATTCGAATTATTGTTATTCTGGTTTGATGAATCACACAATTATCAATGGAATAACAATTGCGAGAAAGACCGCAATATGGGAACAAGTAGAATGCGACAAAGGAAGTCCGTATTGCGTTAAAGTTCGCATTTCAAAAAGTAATCGTAATTTTATTTATTGTTATATTGATCTTTCGTAATTCATTATCGACGATGAGATTGATTTCTTCAACTGACAACAAGTGTTCCATTTTGTAGAATTTTGGAACGTGTTGACCCAAAGATTTTTTGATTTGTGAACAAAATATGAAGCACAGAGCTTCATACATTCTATTATCATTCAGAGTATGACTTTTCTAAACGAATAACCATAGTTTACATATTGGTGCAATTAGTTTGCTGATTTGAAACAACCAATAAAAGAGGTTCATAATGAAGCTATGATCAATAGCCGTGAAGTTGAAAACAATTGATGAGAAGCATGATAATGATAATGTGCATTTAGAGAGCCACGATTCGAGGAATGTAATTGAGTATGAATCAAAAGGATGCAATGGATTGGTCTCACCGTACAATTGTAGAATTGGAGTGCGTTATTGAAATAAATTAAGTAAATGAAGAATTGCGACAGTCTATGTCATGGTTTAGTAGTGACTTTAGTGACTTAAATTTTTAGTAGTGACTTAAATCGCAAGCTTTGGAATGGTTACTGTCAACTGAATCGGAGAGAATTTAGTTACTCTTCACAAATGGATGGTTAACCCTTGAATCAAGGACTTCTTCGCAACTCCTTCTTTGACAGTCGAGGTTATTAGGGAGGTGTAGGACATCGTGGTCTGAGCAATCGAATCTGAGCATGCTGGAGACTTGAAAATGATAGTTTATGATAAAAAATATAGTGCAGCAATGTAATGGATGATCGAATTTTGATGGACTCTGTGCTAAAAATTAGTTCGCCTTTTACTGAGAGGAAGAGGGTGATAACTACTGAATGAGATACTTCCGCTCACTCGCATATATGCTTCTCTCACTGATTTTTTCCACCCAAATTTAAGCTTATTGATAGGTGGAATGCAAATTTCGCAAAATATGGATGTACTTGATATGGCATTATCGATCTGAGAGAGATCAGTTGTTTGGAGATGTTCGTAGTTATGTGAACTCGTTTTTGCAATGAGCTGCATTATTTTTCTACAGATAGTCTGTTGATATCATTTGCATGAATAACTTTTATTAAGTTGCGGATGTGTGTTGAATCTCTCGTTTCGTGGTGAACTTTTCTACGTGGCTGATACTTAAGCATGTTTCATTTTGAAGTCGTCACTGAAATTTAAGTTGTGGAAAACGAGTTTTACTTTCAGGGAAGTGGATGTAGGGAAACAATGTATCGCTTTGCTGCATTTGGTACAGTCGCTGGAATATTGTGTTGTTGTGAATCTCGTTTATGCAACAAATGTCAGCCAATTTTTCATTCTTATCACAATCTCATCATCACTCTTCTCTCGATCATGATCATCGTCACAAATCAACTTCTCAGATGATCGAGCTGGATCTTAAGTTGTCTAAGAATAACTCGAGATTCTGAAATAGCAAGTTTGATTTGAAAGAACAGGCTGCTGAACTCTTTTTGGAGTAGACTGAAGACCTGAAAATTGTAGAATAAACCTGCAGAACCATGCTAGTAAGCTTTGATTATTCATTATTTGTTGTTTGTTTTGTCGAGTTTTTAAGAAAAAGTAAATATGTCCATATATCTTGAGATTTTTGAATGAAGTAATGTTCTGAATTGTTGTATCGCTAATGTAATTTAAAATATCTGCACTATGATTATTGTTCATCTTTTGTATCATTATTATCATTGCTACTATTATGTTCGGAGTTGTTCATTCATATGTTCGGAATTGTTATTGTTGATTCAACTTGAAATGTCCTCTCCTTCATTGTTGCCATTATTGTAAATAATGTGAATCGGCATTGTTATCCTCGTCAATATTACCACTGCAATCGCCCATCAGCGAACATTTTTGATTGCCTATTCGATGACAAATTTACGTAACCTTCAATCAAAGACTCCATGCCTCAGTTAAGTGTTTATCATCAGACCCTATCGTTACTTCCACAGTGTTACGCTTCTCAATTTATTTCCTTACCTCTGACTGAAATTTCTCTTACATTTCCTAGCATTGCAGGCGATACATGTGGTTTCATGTTAAACGAATGGTGTTTGTTGATAATGTTATGGCAATGTAACTATCTTTTTTATAAAGCAACATCCTTTGAATTAATAAACCATCATGAGTTGGGCCTTGAACTGGAAGGATGTCAAATATGCTGAATTGAAGAGCAACTGTATAAAAATATTACTTTTTTTCAAATGAGCAAGCAAAGCTATGAACAGTAAAACGTCCATCAACAATATATATTAAATTTGAACATAAATGACACCACAGAAATTATCCTAATGTTCATAAGAGATATTCGAGTTGCAATTACTCCAACTTTTATGATCAATCATAACAGTCGGATCAAATTTCGACCTGCGAACTCTGATTTCTAGAGATTGAGTATTACATGCATGTTGGTCTTAAACCGTTTAAAGCCTGAATGATTTTTTTAAAACATTTCTTTGCAGTGCCCACTTTTTCGCTCTCCAGCATCAGGCGCCTCCAAATTGACGAAAACGCCCTCGAGGGGAACGCAAACGCGTGCAGTTGAATATCACTGTAAATGAGATATCTCTGAAAAATTGGCCACAGCAAATAGATGCACCTCATAGCACGAAAAAATTAAGTTCAATAATTCAGATTACCGTTCATTTTGCTGTCGTATGAATATTTCTATTCTCAAATTTGAGCACATTTCCACTTGAAAAACGTTCAAAAAAATGAACGATAAAAGTAATGACAAAAAATAATAAAAAACTGATGAATTCGTGACTTCTTGTTGATGGGTTAACTTTACTAATTAATGCCAAAAATGACTGATTATTTACGGCAACAGGCATTTATTAGTGCTTGGTTGTGGAATGTTTAACTTGTCGATCATCGTTATGAATCTTCCTGGTTAAAATTGGTTAGAATCGTTTGATACCGAAAAAGTGTTACCTTTGTGCTGTTGGTTGTTTCATGCAACTTCTCTTAGCGATCATTGGGCGATCAAACTTATTGTATTTTCGTGCTGATTTTGAGACTCTCTCCCTTGAAGTCGTCGTTGGGTAATATGGGAGAGTAGCCCAACGCCCCTGCCCTCGCCAAATCAATAATCGAAGCTAAACTTTCATGAAGCTACATAATTTCTTACAGTAATATGGTTAGCTGCGTGGAAAGAAGGAAGGGAATAGAAAGGCACACGGGTTAGATCGGCAGATGCAAAATGTTTGAAAAATAAGATGTAAGATTGAAAAACAGAGACACTCTGACACATTGTTCTGCTCATTTGTCAATGAAGACTATTTCAAACTATTCTCTAGTATTTATTACAGAAAAAAATTGGATAGGTTGAATTTGAATAAAATTTAGGGCGAATGCATTCAATCGTCAAGACAGCTCGCAAAATGATCTCGTTCTGAAGGTTACCGTCATTTTCAGCAAACTGAACATTTTGAATTTGCATTCCAGTCATGGGCCACGTCATTAAAAGAGTACAATTTTTAAATTTTCCAAGTATGTTCAAAATAGAAAATACGCGGCATCAACTAGCCAAGTATCACTGTTTGATTCATTGCAATAGATAATGGTTGTTTCAAAGGCGTTGCTATCAATGGTTAGAATTTCTTTTATTAAACAACGTTTGGGTTCTGAAGAAATCAGGGAAGGTTTTGAGTACCACTTCGATGTTTCGTCAATTGTTGGTAACATCGACCACATTGTTGCTAATTTAGCGAGATATGAAGAAGTTTTTTTTTGAGGGTTATCTGTTGCAGAACTAGTGCATGAAACTAAATGAATGAATTTATATCACGAAGAGCTCGGAGAATTTTTTCGAGAAAATATCTGACGCGCTTCAAATATTGTGAATTGATGTTTGCAGATGTTTTACTGGAATTCACGGAACGCATTATTGTTTAAAAGATTATTATTTGTCGTGATATTGGCCGATGTGAAAGCATTTCGTCAGCAGCCGAGTGCAGATTTTGAGAAGGACGTGATAACCGAAATAGATGGATCATCACTGCTTGCAACACGCGGCGATCTTCTTAAAGAGCATTCCCTTGTCAAGCCTTATGAAGGTTCATGAACTACATCACAACATCATTGAACTGATAAAAAAGATAGTTGTATTGCTGGATTGCATGGTCTCGAGCAAAAGATCTTACATGCGTGTTTGATCATCTGAGTCATCATTGTGAGTCCCTGCAGTTTGGTGTGCGTATTAATATTCCTTAGGGGTGTAGGTCTGAGCGCCGTTGAGAATAGAACGGTCGAGGCAGACTGACAAGGTTAGAATTTGGGATTTAAAAATACGACTGAATGGTAGAATTCGGTCGTTGTGATATCGTATTTGGTGGACACCTCAGATGTTCAGGAAGTGAAACAGAGGGAGGATAGAAGTAGTAGACAAGATTGACTTTCACCAAATATTTGTGGTTGATGGGTATGCAGCCTAGTTTTGTTCGAGTCATAATGTGTAATGAAAAAATTAGGATCAGCATGGCTCATGGCCGGCTTTGCACTAATCTCCAATCAGTTCGTTCGACTTACCCCCGACCATCCTGATCGAATGGGTGCAGTAGCTGATGTTATGGTTCGTTTATCCAGTGCATTATTATTGTAATCCTTACTAAAACCTTGAACTTGATAAGAAATCAGAACAAGAAACCATAACACACTGACTTGAATCAGTTTTGCTCTAAAGTTCATGGCTGATTATCTTTTGAAAAGAATCAAGTGTTGCGATCAAAATCTTAATGTTGAGTGATGAGTCACTTGAGTTTTTTCAGCTGAATTCCCAAAAGATATTTTGTGAAGGTCACATCCAAACTCATCCTTCTTCTTTTCTTTAAGAATCTGTTTGTAATAGTGATGTTCGAAGTTATGTTTCAAGCCATTCAATTACCGATCCTGGGAAGTGGAATTGACGTTGAAGATCTACAGTCCCGATCTGCATAAACCTGGTGATGGAATGGCGTTTTGGTATGTCAACGAGATTGACAGACAAGGACGAGCGTTTGGCTTTCCAGATCTTTTTCGTGGTTTGGGATTGTTCATTGACACGAAAAAGCATGACTTCACCGACGCGAATGTGTGATCTTTTCAGTGAATTCATCCCATCATTGGCTTACATTCAAGCATTCATCAGCCCATAAAATCATTATGTTCTTGTCCGGAAATCCATCTGTCATCTGGCATAGCTTGAACAAAAGATGCGTGAGCAAAAATCGTGTCACGCGTAAATGATGACTTGAAAAATGTTGCCTCTTATTAAATAAGATTCCTAAAGAGAATGCTTGCTTCTCAAATTAGGGAATTCTCAAAAAAGAGTCCAGAAAACAGCTGCTTTCCTCATAAATTATCTGATTTACAGCATAAACATCCATTCATATCGGCAACAGTCAATAACGGCAGTATGCAATACGTTCATGATGCATTAGGAACACATTTGCAACTTGGTGGTGAAAACGGTGGTTGTTATGCATCGTTGTACGGTGATCAGTACGACCCATCGAAAATTCTGATACGTTATGCTGAACGCACTCTATCGGTAATTTCGTTTTGCATTGGTTGAAAGATATTCTTTCCGACTAAGTTAAAGCACTGTTAATTGAGAAATATCACATGTATCCTTAATAGAAATATGCAGGATGAACACCTTTCACTGTGAATTCTGTGCCTAACTAGTGGGAAGCGGGAGCATGCTTTAAGGAAGATCCGACAGAAAATAGCGGAGGTGGATAATAGCGCACTATTCGCTAACTTTTGCTAACTAGCAAAAATTAGCGAAATAGCTATTCTGCTATTCTGCTAACTTTCGCTACTTGGCGAAAGTTAGCAGAATAGCGGAATTTTTGCTCACCTCTGGAAAATAGATTAAACGAGAGAAGTTACTTTTTGGAAAAAGTAGTGAGAAATATATTAAGGTATTCGTAGCGGAACCTGGCGAAAGTAATTGGAAGTTGTGTATGGAATCTGAAGGAGTTATCTTGCCTCGGGGTTATCACTTCGCTGTTTCTGCGTCAACCGGGATGAAAACTTCTGGTCAGTATTTCATTATGTTAATTATTTTTGCTGATTCCGGCAAATAAGCAACAAGTGAGCTATTCAGCAGTCTCACAGCCTTAAAAATGAGTGAATATGGTGATGGTACTAACTGATTAAGCAAAATTTCCTTGTTAATTGTCTCAGAATTTTTTCTTAATTTTCGCAGTCATGCGTATTTTCTCGACCTCGTTCGAAGTACAACAAAAGACGCATTTGGATGTTTGATGCCGAAGATCCACTCTATTATTATGTATTGGAAAATCAGCGTGAACGCATCCAGAATTTCGAGTTTTCTTGCAGTGGTAACTGAAGATATTCATGTTGTAATGGATTGTAGAATTTTTGCAGTACTTTTTAATTTATCACCTCGCAACAATGCCATCTTCAACTGCAAAATGAGTTTATTAATTTGAGTGATGGATTCATTAAAAGTGTTTGTGTTCATTCTTGCAGAAATTCATGAAATCATTTCAATTCGTGTATTTGCGCTGGAATCGGTCAGTAGTGAACAAGATTTTGAAGATGAACGAAATGTGATATTCGCCGATCAGATGGCACCCGAGCGTGTCTATGCTGGTGTATTCAAGAAAGAATTTGATTTCTTTGGAACAATTTTGATTTTTCTATTGCCGATTGTTGTAATTGCGCTCATATTAACGTTCATATTTGTTCGAGTCGCGGACAGTGTGAGTGTTCGTTCGAAGAGATTGTTTTGAAATTATGAGAAACACTGATCCTGAGAATGCATTTTCCCGTCGAGTTTACCAAAATTCAAAGCATACAAACATTCCAGAGGGCAACACTTTAACCCTACCATTTCGAAGTCTGTAAAATGCTGCCATTAACATGCTACAAAATCAGATATCCTTACAGTTAGAAGCGTTCCCTAACTATTGGTCGGAAAATCTTCACTTAATGTATGATCCAGTTTGTTTCGGAAAGGATCCAC